CCTCCTTGCACAAAGGAGCAGATAACAGTCCTGCTGCTGGGTTGATGCCCTTCTACGGCCCTGTCCAGCTTTCCTTGTGTAACAGCCGGCCTCCTGGTGTCTCCTCCATGCTCTTTAGACTGTGCTGGGAGACACAGCAAACCTTCTGGTGACCGGACGTGTAGATGTGTCATCCTGGAGGAACTGGATTTCCTGTGCAACTTGTGTGGGCTGCAGGCACCGCCTCATGTTACCAGTAGTGACAAGGACACTAGCAGAACACAAACCTAGAGAATCAGTCAGGAAGGATAAGGAGAGAGCAGCTGTCTGTGGCCACCACATGTAAAACTACTCCCATTGTGGAGGTTGTCTTGCTTTTGCCTCTCCATTGCACCTGTTGTCACTTTCATTTGCATCAAAGCACTTCCTCATTGGACAGAGTGATATCCCTGATCTTTAACTGACTTGGTGTTTATACTTCCCTTATTTTTTTTTGAGCAATGTAGTCTGTTCTGCTAAGTACAAAGTACTGTCAAATGAAGGAAAATCATTTCACACTATGTGTTTTCTTCTGCTAAGACAAATCCTCACATTCCATTCAACTGGAAATAAATGGTTGAATTTTAGGTTGTTTAATGAGGGAAGATGTTTTCACAAATACTGCACCATGATCTGGGAATTATATGAAGTCAAGTAAATTTAAATAAATAAATAAAAATACCTCTGTTATATCACTTAATACATAGTCTGCAGTCATTTCCTCAAGTCTGAATTAAGCTTTTACAAATGGAAAACTTGTACAACTTTTAAATGAATTGTTTAATTGTACAGGAATTTAACTACATGCATTTCTTTAGTTAAAGAAATCAACACTGCTGCTGTAGAGCCGTTGACTAAGGGCTTGGTGTTTTAGGGAAATGCAACTGAAGAAAATCTCCCTCTTCAATTTCCATGGAACCTCATGTGATGTGCAAGTTAAACATGAACGATGGTTTTTGGATGACTTGCCACTTGCTGGTTGTTTAAACAGGCTCCAGTGTTACATGCCAATAAGTCACCTCTTTCTTTTGAATCTCTGAGTCACTGAATGATCACTGATATGAGCGGTGTAACAATGTGAACATTAAACGAATTAGATGAACTGTTTAAAGATGCAATGAGTCAAACGAGTATCTACATGTCTCATTTCCTCCTCTTTCCACAGAATATGAGAAAGCAATAGGGCTATATAGGGTGTACTTACAATGAATAAGGATGAGTACACACCCCACATGTTGTGGGTCAAGCTGAGTTGAAAATCACACTTTTTGGCCTTCTCTTAAAATGCTTGTGATCTTGTGTTTAAAACCGGGATACAATGAAGTACTGTGAAGTGTTTAAAGGTCTACTTACAAGCTTTTAAGTGCTATGAACTGCATCTCACTGATGCTGCAGCCCAGTAACCAAAGGAAAATGTTGGCATTGTGTGTTTATGCAAACCATAAACACTGTAAAACTTCAATTAACAGCCTATAGTTTAACCAGCTTGTAAAACTAACCACTTTTCAAAATCTGTTATTCCCTCTGCAATTCTTCTTTGTTTTTTTTTAAATGTTTTTTTTAATTGATAATCAGTCTATTAACTTTTATCATTTATTTATAGATTCCTTTATTCCACTGAACTCATTGGCACATTTTTTATTTGTTTTTATTTATTTATTTTTACTCATATATGTCAGTGTTTTCCTCAAGGGAGAAACTAGTGCCCCATAAACAGGGTATTTTAAGCCAAAACACGATCCGTGGTTTTTGTGCCTAAACCTATCCACACGTTAACTGCAGCATTGTTGTAGCATTAAGTTTCAGTGTATCCGCTACATAAAAACATGTAAATGTATCGTATCTGTGGTTTGCAGAAATGTACAATGCCAACATTTTTGCCTGCGATCAGGTTGGATGCTTGCTATAGAAGACTGCAAGGATGGGTTTTACAAAGTGGACCTGTGATCTTGGATTATTATGCTAAAGATATTGTTCCCAAAGGTCAAATATGAAGAAAATAAGCTTCTCAGCTTCATCAGTTTATTAGTAAGTAGTTAGATGTAAAGATATTTACTGATGAGTGTAGCATGTGTGGTGAACTGAGGTCAAATTCCCATCGAATACCCCAGGCTAACACTCTCGTGGGAAAATATGTGATGTGGAAGAAAGTGTTTCATGGCCAGCAGACGATGTTGATGATCCAAGATGTGAAGTTTCCTCTGAGGAGGATTCAGAGTAAATCAGGCCTATAGTGTTTGCCAGAGCTTCCATCCATATCCATGACATAAAATTGGCTTTTGAGCTCTTTCTTTCCTCACCCATAGAGAAAATTATACTGGACATGACTGATGAGGATGGAACATTCTTAAACCTTTACTTAACACAGCTTCAACCTAAACATAAACACTTGTGTCCGACCTGTTAAATTCTGCTGGGATTCACGTGTGTTATGTGTAAATGAAAGACACATTTACATGTTGGCAAATTTGCCACTGTAAGGCGCCACAGTAGCATTCATTTATCATATCACATCTACTTTGAAGGTATACTACGCTGTATTTTCCCTAAAGACAACATACAGACTCACATGAAAGTAATCCCTCTCAATCATCACATATGATCCACTAGAATTGTGTGGTGGTGTATTTATCTGCAGAGACTCTGCCCTCTGTGTTTTTGTTTTTATTGTGCCTTGTTCCTGGGCACAACATGCAGAGACCTGAGAAGCCTGTTCACTTTACCCATGATATCTTTTTGTTATCTGATCTGACTAACCCTAACATTGGTCGTCTGTATAACTGATACTACAAAGTTGATCATCAAGTAGCTCAGTCAACTCTGGGTTTTCCTATCCAGCCACAAGCGCACTCATGACATCATTAGAGCCATGAATGAAGGCTGCGTCACATCATATGAGTTGAAATGATACCAAAAGTGTCTGCAACTGCGGGACAGTAAAATGTCAATGGCGTGGGATGTAATCGACTGTTTTCTCATAACAGAGAATGTAGAAACACTGAAAATACTATCAAAAAAATTCACCATCGCCTGAGACTTCAGTTACATGTAGGTATCACTGCACTATGTGTGACATAAGTATAGGGTAGTTTTTGCTTTTCGGTTGGGTGATGATGAATATGTCACATAAAACACTTTAAAATAATGCCAGACTGTTTCTGCTACAGAAGTAATGGGTAAAAAGTAGCCTTGTTAATGTTGTATTTATAATAATTGGAGCCAATTAACAGTGTGTGGATTATTTTTCTAACATAATAATATCTGTTTTATCCTAGATCTCATCACATGGGTGTCCCATGTTATTCTGAGGTGCAGTGATGGAATCAGAGTGTAAAATAGCAGCACTGTCAGTGATCACTGCTGACTAAACTAAACTTTTCATAAGTTAAAATCCACCTAAAATCATGTGTTTAGTGTTGTAAACAATCTCTCTGTTTGTTAGAAGCTCCTTTTTAGAACCAGTGGAAATAGATCCCTGGAATAATGAAATGATATATAGGCTACTCTTTTTTACCTGTCACTCCAGACATTTGTCCATGCATACTTTTTTTCTTCAGTGATCTGATTGGTCAGTAGTCGGGGTGTTGACAGACTGTGATCAGATACTCTAAACATAACCTGCTCTGGAGCCCAGAGTTAACCCTGAAGTTACCAAGCTAACTTAAAATCCTGCTTCATAGTACAGGTCTCTGGTGAGGTTGGGACTTTAGAAAAAGGTGGGGACCACTGCTAAAAAGCACTACAGAAAAGAGAAAAAATAGGGTAAAGAGTAAACCTGGGCTTGGCCTTCATTTTCGCTGGCGATACTGTTTACAAACAATAACTGATAATTCTTGCATAATTAGTTACTAACATTACAGCATCTTGCTGTTTGTTACATGCCAGTGTTTTACAATTTAAATACACCTACTAATCCCAACACAAAAGAGTGGCACCATACAAATGTAATATAAAACTTCCAAACTTTTATTACTCAAAAAAAAAATGTACCTCCAAAAGCATTTTACATACAAAAGAAAACAAGTGGCCATATGTGTATCAGGTGTACTCAAGCAGCAAGGACTCCCCAGAGTCTTCTCGACATACATGGGCGACCACTCCACTCCAAAACTGTCCTCTTATACCCTTTTTCACCAAAATTAAGGCCATGTATGCAGGTTTTTTAAATGCTGGTAAATCCGTTAAAAGTAGGCGACAGAGCACTTTCCCATTTCCAGTAGACCAGAGCTGTGTACACAGTTCCAGGGCAGATGAGTATATGTCTTTCAGTTAGAATAACAGAAAGGCAACATTAGAAAGCAGCATGGAGGCCAGTAAAAATGTTTCGGCGGTTATATCTCTTACTTATTTAGCCTCTCTCTCAAACTGTGTTGTGCTGACTAAATTTTGGAGCAATGTTTGAGTGCTGCTCAGACGGTATTTTGTGGCGTACTGTCATTGCACGTGGCGGGAATGGGGCTAAAATTAGCGTGTCCACCCGGGTGTCGTATTTCCATCCCTGCTGATTGAACCCGACCGAGCTGGAGCCGATAAATACCCGTGACTACTGCACAGTTGTTGTTGAGTGAATGCTGATTGTAACCTTTCCCATTAAATACAAAAGCCAGATGTTAGCGGGTGTAAGTTGGTTTCTGTGCAGTGGGGAAGGGGCTTTATTCTGGGTTTTTAGCAGGCTCATTGAAGGCTGAATTGCACCTACAAACAAAAGTCAGGTTTGCTTGTCAAATGGATGGTTCAAACTAAGGTCCGGCATCTAACCAGGCAGATAGCCAAACATAGTTGAGGATAATGGGGTGGCCACTCCAAGAGCCACCTCAGACCATTCCCTGGATACGCCCCTTTCATCATGTGAGTAATAAAGAGCAGCTGGAAAATCTTTCATCGTCTCATTTCATAGGTCACATCCAGTTGCTTATGTATGAAGAAACAAAACAAGTTTAACAAACTGATTTTAATCAGATCATTTGACATTAGTGTTCACAAGTTACACAAGCTTAAAGAGGACCAGTCAGGCATATATACAATACAGATCATACATTTAATAATATAAAAGTGATAAAACAAAATATAACACAAATATCACTTCATGAACTTGCAGCATTTGGAATCCAGTATTTCTGATAAAGTAATAAAAACAAGCCTTTACATATTCAGAAAGTAAAATTATTATTATTTTTTTAAATAGAAAACAATTGCACTCCTTTGTACATTCATAAAGCTGACACTTTAAAAAAAAGAAATCCGATGAGCTTTACTTGCCAGCAGTCCAGAACAAACCAACAAAGGAAAACTGTAGAAAATACATGTATTTCATTATGAAACCAAATCCTTCCTCTCAATCAGCGAGAAAGCAACAATAATAATAATAAAAACACAACATCTGCCAGCCTATCTTCCATAAAATAGTGTGCTATTTACATCTTAAATAGTTTTTTATTTTTCACAGACTCCGGTCAAAAAGTTCCCAGGAAACCTTTCTTTCAAATTTTTACTTTTGTCCTGCCTGGAGTACACAGATGCTTGATAGTTTTTTGTTTCTTTATCGTCACCCCTTTTTAGATTCATCACGGCAGACAGATGCTTTAGACTTAGGGTGAAGTTATTTGCATTCCTCGGCAACGCATTTATTCCAAATGTCCTTATTTTGGCATCGGGCTTTGCTAGAAAATCAGAAAGACAAAGAAGAATTTACCTCCTCATCTTACGTTACAGTTAGGCACTATATGCATAGCTTGATATCATTTGGCAATATCTTAAAGACCTGACGTTATCATGTTACCCATGTCTGTTACTCTTTCACATACATTTCTCCCCCTGCTCACTAAGTGTTTTGTGTTTGTGTGTTCTTTATCTGAACAATGCATTAGTGTCTGTTTTAGATGGCATGTATTCCTGTTCGTACCTTCCAAACCCCTATTCATTTAATGGCTTATGAGTCTTAAAACACGACTCATCGTGAAGCATACTAACAAACATCTTCTCGTACATTTTATGCGCAGAGGTGGTTCCTATGATGCGGCTGATCTTCTTCAGGCCTTTCAGCAGATAGCGTGGCGCCCCCTGGCTGCGCAGCACCCTCAGACTGTGAGACAGACCTTTGGCTAGATCCAGGTCATAGTTTGCTGTCTTCCAGAGGTGAAGCAGCTGCAGGATGTACTGCCTGGGCAGGCAGGTAGAGACCACGGCCCGGACATCCTCCTGCTGAACTCTGACCCCCGGCAGGCTGTTGGTGACCTTCAGCAGGTCGTCGAGCGTCAGGTTTTTTAGGCCGTTGCAGCGGGAGACTTTCCTCTCGCAGTGGTTCACACCTGGAGGGACGAGGTTCGAACATTAATACACAAATGCAGGACTTGAATGATTGGCTAAAAATAAATAAATGCAGATTCTCTTTTTTTGTACCTTGTATGATGCCATACATCTTGTCCTGGTCTTTGTTCTGCTCCCTCCACAGCCGCAGCAGCTGTAAGACTTGCTGCTGGGGAGAGCAGGCCTTCTTCAGCCTCTCCAGGCTCTTACGATCCACCTTCCGCCCGGGAAGACTCTCCAACAGCCGCTCCAGGGGCACTGAGGACAGTCGCAGGGAGGAGAGAGACTGGAAGACAGCCTCCTCACACAGGGTCACATCTGGAAGAGATTGTAAGAGACAGACAGAGAGACGGTCAGGGAGAGTGGGCTTTAAAACATTTTTATTAAAGTTCCTCTACTGGCATCGATCAAACCCCTACATCTCCGTTCATCATAGTTACATATTTAGAGGTTTTTACATGCCTTAAAATGACTCAGAGGTAACTCTAAACCTTTGCCTCGCTTAGAACACAGTCACTCATGAGCGACCGCAGCTATCCTCACTGGCCGAGGCGAGATTTGTGCTGAATGTGGGCAGTGCTGTAAGTGATTCACATGGAAGGCTAACTTGCTAGCTAATGTTAGCTTAGCTAGCCTGCTAATACTAAATTAAAATGTTAAAGGTACATTTTTACACTTTCTAATGTTTCATGCCTGACTCCTGACTTACTGCCACCCAGGCAGCATCTCTCATCAGACGAATATTATACAATATCAGCTGGTTAGAAAATCAGCATCTCCTCTGCACATGAGTCTTTGCTAGTGGTTGTGGTGATGATTTTGGCAGGCTGAGTAAACCAAAGTTAATTATTCACCAGTATAAATTTTGCTCATGTTTTACTGTGCCCTTAATAAATATGAAAGTTAGTCACCGCCTTTATCTCCACTCACACCTCAGCCACTCGTCCGCAGCTTAATGTAAGACATAAGAAACGTAATGATAATAAATAGCATGAGCCTTCGGCTGGACTACAATGTGTTGCTGATGTTAGATAAACCTTGTTCCAGATCACTAGGTCTGACAAAATTGAAATGAAATCAAATCTTAGCTTGCAAAATATTGATACGTAGCTACACCTAGCTTCTTCTCTGATACCCCTTGTTACCCATAACGTTCTGCTAATGATATGGAAATCCCCACCCCACAAGTTGATGGGATTTGTTCTGTACGTTTGTGATGTAACAAATTATGGCTGTTTGAATCTGTATTTTTGAGACTGTCCATGTTCCAAGGCCAACATGCTCAGCTGTAGCGTTGGCTGCTTATTTCACTCATATGTCTTGCAGTATATAAAAAACACTGTATGGACATGTAAAGGTAAAAAATATGATTTTCATTGAAGGGTGGTTTTTAACATTATCAAACATAACACAATAAATAGCTTCATAGCGGTGGAAACATAATAGAATTAGACAGATGACCAAGTCAATCTAAATATTTTCTTCATTGAGGTTTCATTTGGGGTGCACATGTGATGTTCAGAATAGATTCTAATCACATGCTTTGGTCTCTGCAGAGTCCCATCAGCTTATAATATGTCTGTATTTGCTTACGTGTGTTTGTGTGTGTGTTCAGACTGTTGGCTTGTAATTTGGCCACAGTAGAAACAAGGATTTGCTTTCTTTCAGTTGAGAGAACACAACCAACACTGACATCAGTCAGACAAACCAGGCCCGTCTGTGTTGCTCTGCACGAAGCAGAGCAGCACCAGAGCTGCATGTTAAACCTATGTAAGCGGAGGTGACACATGCTGCACTTTGCTGCTGAGAAACGCTGCACCACGCAAACACCTAACCAAGGGCTTGTGGGCCTTCCCTTTGAGGCAAATGTGTAATTTTGCGAAGAGCTGGGTTTTTACGTTACGCAAAAAAAACAGTCAAAGCTGAAGACGATGTGAAACTGTCGACGTGAAATTACAACTTAAATACGTTTATGAAACCTTTCTGTGTTCACGTCTGTGTGAAAATATTTTCTGATTGCCTTGCAGAACATGAGGAACACCAGTAAATGAAAAAACAAAAGTTTAGTATAACCGATGTCGGTGTAGTATTTTGAGTTTAATGTGAAAAGGATATTAGGCTTGTTTGTTTGATGTCTGGATAATTTAAGTGAGGCTGGCTCTGTAATTGACATTGACGTCCTGGTGGTTTCTTCAAATCACGTAGCAACTTTGGGAATCCCAACTGCTTTCAATTTTTTTTTTTCTATTAAAAAAACTGCTAAACTGTTCCAGGATCTGCTGCAGACAATCTGTGGTTGTGTAGTCCGCAGGAAGACAATTTGTGAATGAATGTTTGAGGAGAGCATCACCCTCCCTGAGGGACAACAGCTTTGTGTTTCCTTCTAAGTGCAGTGTACAGTGTACACAAGTGTGCCAGGGTCTGTACATCTGTATGTGTGTGTTCTTCAGTGACTGCGGTTTCTCCGGCTTTGGGAATCCAGTGTCATATTTGAGGCTTCTCCTCTCAAATTAATTGTCAGCATCTGTCATATTTAAAGTGTGAGTAACAAAGACTTACCAGCTCGTCTTGTGTCTCTATGTGCTTGACTCAGTTTCCTCTGTTATTGTAGTTTGAGGATGTGACAGTTAATGGAGTAATTGATCCATCATGGGGTCATTATGACAGTAGTGGCATAAACATCCCATTCAACCCCTCGCTTTGGCTTTTCTCTCTTGTGTTGGTTTTCAGACACGCAAGAATTCGGAAAAATAATGGAATCTGGACAACGAACCTGACCGAGGAAATCCCCTGCCTTCAGGAATGAAAATGACCAAATGTCTGAAATAATTCAGCTCTGGCTGACTGTAGGTTGTTGACAATTGAGGTTTGCTCAAAAACATCATCACATGTGCATGTGTGTGCGTGCATTTTCTGTGTGTTTGCGGTATACAAACAACCTCTACCCTGATAAGGGATGAACTGATCTGATACTCATTTCAGATATCAGGCCAATACTGACGCAGAGAGCTGCTATCAGGTAACAGTGACAATGTGATCTATTCAATTCCATTGTATGTTTCCGTCTGATTAGATGTCACATACTGCGTCATGCATCAGCAGCGCGCCTGGTGGACCGCATAGCCAGAGGAACTAACAACAAAGATGTTAGCTGTCTGGAGGTATTTCCTGTTGGCTAAACCAACAAGTTGTACAGCAACTAGTCAATATATCTACCTCTTAATTTGAAAGATTTTGCTGCTGACTGATTTACTGAACAGGCCCAACAATACAGTACATTTATATCTTTATATATATTTATTACATGTTGTTTTGCAAAGTTAGTAAAGCAATGCTTAAATCAAGCCTGGTGTTGCCTTACACATAAAAGACTAACCGCAGTCACTTCCACACAGCGAGGCATGCAGCTTATTAAATAACATGACACTGTTATCAGATTGGTCCTCGGCATGGCTTTAGAAGAGCCAGACTCAGAACAATGGATCAGCACCACATGTCAGTCTGAAGACATCCAAGACCAAAGAGCTGATCTTTGATTTTAGGCGCAATCCCCCACCACCCACTCTAAGTAAGATTAGAGAAGAGGAAATCGACTACCTTGGACTTACTATTGACCGCAAGCTTTCCTGGGATCAGTGTGTCGATTCTATTTCTAAAAAGTGCCAACAGTGCATGTATTTTCTTACAAAACTGAACTACTTCACACAGAGCATAAAATTTGTTCTCTATTGTACAAAGCATCCTTTGGTTCTGTTTCGTATGTTGGTGTGGATATTCCAAAATTAGTCACAGAAACAAACTAGGAAAAATTGTTAAGACCTGTTTGAAGATAATGGGGTGCAGCGGGCCGATCTGTGCCACCTGAACCTGACCAGGCTGACAGCAAAGTAAGTCAAGGTCTGTCTGGACACACACAGACTCTCCCTTCTGGTTGCAGATCTACTGTAACACTTCATTTAAAAGCCTAGCCTCAATTAAACATCCAGTCCCTTTTATTAGCGTGGTGTGGCTACACATTTTGACAAATAAAGGCCTGTTTCAACTAGACGCCTGAGGCTATATTCACAAACATTCTGAGAGTACCCTCAGAGAGCTCCTAACTTAGCCTAAAAACTTTTAGTAAGGAGTCCTAGCTTAGCTGTGATTTGGGAAAGTTCTCAGAGCAACTCTAATTAAGGAAGGGACGGGAACTTTTACCTTAGTGAGCCCATTGCGAGGTGTGATGCTGTCTTTTAACAGATGTGATTGGTTGTCACAGACATGCCCTTTTGTGAGCCCGAAGGTGTGGACACCCAGTGAAAAATGAAATGAACTGCTGACTATGAAAGTGTTAATTGCTCATGTGATCACCCTGCTGATGGAAGGGTCAGACAGACTTGAGTCATCACTGCTGCACTGTTGCATCTTTACAGTTCTCCAAATATCTCAGTATTGTGATCATTTTATGTCTGGCGTTATGGCATTATTGCATTGGGTGGGAAATGTGTGCATGTCCCTGATGAGATCAACCACAAATATTATTCCTGCATGATCTAATCTGCAGCATTTCATTTACTCACTGTCATCCAGTGTTTGGAGGATATTTCTCCTTCCTCTCCTTCCTTCCAACATTTTCTCCTCTGCTTACAAAGCTCTTAAGCCACTTCAAAGTCCTCCTCTCTACTTCACATAGTTTTTCACCTTAGGAGCTCTTTTAAGGTCTAGCATGCTTTGTGAATAACTTTTATCTTTACAAGAACCTATTCTGAGGAAACATCACAACTTCTAAGAATTTTCTTAGACATTTTATAGGATGTTACATAACTTGACATGTTTCGGCGGAAACTTTCGCCTTCCTCAGAAGTGTCAGTTTTCGTCACTAGGAGCAACTCTTAGCACTAGGAAGCTTTGTGACTATGGCCCCTGATCTGGTTGCCAATTCTTTCTTTTTTTTTTTTTTTTATTAGAGGTTCTTCAGATGTATAAAAGCGGGTTGTTGGTTACCTCAAATTCAGTGATTTTTCAGTGATTTAAGCAAATGATAGCCCAGGATATTAATTGAAGTTTTACAGTAGATATCCTAAGATCAGAGCTAACTGAGCTACAAAGTCATATATGCCTATGGCAATTACCCAACTCAACAAGCCATGCCGAGGCAACATGCACTGTAAGGTAAGGGTTGGGAGGAATATATGGGGATGTGCAACGTATGTCTTATTCATTGACAGATTGTGATCATGGATTTTCATTGTCTTGTTCTGTTCTGTTTTAATTGTGCTTACATTATGTTTATTATTTATGTTGCTTCACCACAAATCGCATCTTTGGGGATATGAAAGTTTTCTAAGTCTAATTCTAAGATTAACCAAAGCCCAGGTTTTGGTATCAGGACTGAAAAAGTCATATCAGTGCATCCCTGACCCTGATTCCAGCCTGCATGAGTCCTAAAACCTCCCACATGGTTCCAATTAGTGATTAACTCCCACTGCAGAGTGTGTATGTCTCACCAGTGTGGCACAAAGTGTGATGCTGAGAGCACTCCAGTGTTGCCGTCTTGTCCTGAGGGCCACAGAGGCTGTCTGAAGTGGACGTCCCCCAGCTCCGTGTCTTCAAGCCCATATTGGAGCAGTTACTGTGGGGTTGACACGGCTCGGTGGAGGAGTCGCTGCTGGAGAAATGACCAGTGGGACAACGTTCACACACGGTGTCACTCACCGGTGTACCTAGAGGGGATACACACAGGATGATGTATTGATTTTATGAATGAAAATGTGAATGTGGCAGAATTTATACAGTTCAAGTTTAATTTATTATATTATGAAAAAAACAACAAGATTGTTCTCTTGGTTATGATAAAAAATAAATCCTACACATCTAAGCAGTTTCAGCATCTCAAAATGACCTGCCGCATGAACTGATAGCTGATCAAAGCATCAAAATGATGTGATTCCAGGAACTATGACCACAGTGACATGTGACAACGCATCAGGACGACAGATGACTGAGTGATTATGGAAATGACTCATAGCGGGCTTAGTCATTACAACGCCTCCTTAGTTTCTATATCTTATTTTTGAATGGGAAATACATAACCGCAAAAAGTGATTTGTCAGCTGATTTTTCAGGTTGACTCACATGAGTGAAAATGTTTACAAATCTGTCAATAAAAAAAATCAGTTTAGAACATCAGCTTTTGTTTGTTTGTTTGTCTGAGATAATCAGATCACTTTAAAACATTTGAATGACTTCATAATGTATGTAAATTACTTTAACAGATCAGGTAACAACATTAGTGACTTATATGAGATTGTTAGATAAGAATTCAATAGTATTTATTTATTTGTGAGATTATTCATCATTTAAAAAGTTGCCATTGTGATGTCATAATGTCATTAAAGGTCACAATGTAACCTTTTTTTTTCCACTTACAGTGACAGTTTACTATGTTTCAACAAGTTCTAATCATACCACCATGACATTACAGTAAACCTTAAGATCTTCTGGTATGTGACCTGCAGCATGCATGACAATGACGATTTCTATGCAGTGGAACTAGTGTTGTAATCACATCCTCATTTTATTTTTTTTTTAATCTCTGAAGCGTAGAAGTGAAAGTGCGTGGGAGGAGGACGAGCCATCGTCTTATCTGATTTAACCTTTGATTAGTTTTGCTCTGTTGTGGCACAGTTTCACACTTTAGCAATATAACATGAAACCACTGACGGATATGCATACAGCAGAGAGCTAATGTTTCCTGCACTGCTGGTGACAAAGCACGTACAGTACATGAGAATGTGTCGGCGTAATTGTAATATGCTGGCACTAATCTTCGTTTTCTCAGAATTTCCTCTGTGAACACAGAATCAGCATGTTAGCACTTTACCATAAAATATAGGTTTATATGTCAGCTAACGCAGAGTTGCTAGCTCAGCTGTCTACATATAAGGAATTAATTAATTGACAGGATTGGCTGCAAATGTATGGTAGAAAAAACATCCTTATATGTACAATGAAGAGCTGAATGGCTTTGTCAATTAATCGATTGACAAAAAAACTGATTAGCAGCTATTTTTATTATCATTTTTCATGCAAAAATGATTAAAACCTTTCAGTTTCAGCCACTAAATTGTGAGAACTTGCTCCTTTTCTTTGTCCTATGATAAAGTGAACTTAATAATAACAACTCCCTGGAGAGATTCAAGATCGTTCTAAACTCTAAATGACTCTGCGCGAGGTCTTAGCCCACTTTTACCTTTATTTTAACATTACTATCTTTTGTAAGTCTTTTTTTTCCCATCTGTTTTGTTTGCAAATTTTAATGCTGCCGGCTTGGCCAGGTCTCTCCTGAAAAAAGGTTTCAAAACTCAATGGGACATCAACGGGCTAATTAAAGGTTCAATTCTAAAACAAATCTTTAAATTATTAGATTTCTTCAAAACAAGTTATTTATTGACCCGCTCATAAAAACATCTAGCTTGAGCTTCTTAAAAAAAATGAAGACAACTTTTGCAAGACTAGTCTGAGTATAAAGTACATACCTTTTTGTCTGTAAAAATGAAATTTACAAAGTAAAGTCAACTTATTTTTTAGGAAGATCAAGCAGGACTACTCTGTGTATGAGCTATGTAACTTTATGTATATAAGAAAGATATTTACAAAGTAAAGTCAACTTAACTTTATTATGTAGATCGAGCAGGACTGCTCTGTGTATAAGCTATATAACTTTTGTTTGTAAAAAGAAATTTGCAAAGTTAAGTCAACTTAATTCTATTATGTAGATCAAGCAGGACTAGTCTGTGTATGAGCTACATAACTTTTTGTATTTAAGAAATTAATTTAAAAATAAATTAACCTTAATCTTATTATGTAGATCAAGCAGAATTAGTCTGTGTATGAGCTGTGTAACTTTTGCATGTAAAAAAGAAATTAACAAAGTAAAGTCAACTTAATTCTATTATGTAGATCAAGCAAGACTAGTATTTTGCAATGATTTTAAGCTGTTTTTCTGACAGTGTAATTACTTGTTGTTTACAGGGTTAATTAGATAATTGATGACACTTACAGTTTATATTACGATCTTCGGTATATTTGGGACCATTACTGATACTGTTATAGTATTCACTATATCGGTGGTTCAGTGGTTCCCTGTTCCCAGTTCAGTGTGTCAAAATGACCTGCTGCATGAATTGTAGCTGATCAAAGCATCAAGAAATAAAATGCACAGTGTCTTATGCATTGAACAAACACAGATTAACTTTAAAATAGACATATTTATGTACAGATACAAAATCATCTTTTTAAACAGAGTTAATTATGCTGCATTTACATCCACTTAGATTAATTTTTTCAGTGCATTTTCTCGATCTTTTATTGATGTAATTTAATTTCATAGATATAATAATATTAATAATCTATCAGTCAACAAAATAATTACCAGACAAAATGATAATGGAAATAATTGTCAGTTGCAACCCTTACGTTAAGGAAACATCACTTTGTTTCATCCGTGCATTTATTAGTTGTTTCTTGGAATTTTTTTTTTGTGATACATAAAACTAAAAACACAGACAAACCAGCTAGAAAGATTTCAAAGCTCACGTTCAGAGAGAGAGAATGAATCACAACTAGAAACAGGCAAATCTGGAGATCAAGACGAAAGGAATGGAGTCATAAAAGGCATGTACTGTTGGGAGACGGGACCGTCAGTTTTCTGACATCCTGTGGTTTGAAAGGTCTAAACCACAAGGCATTACATAATAAGTCCTTCAGGAAGGGGAATCCCCTGAAATGCTGTCTCATGTCTGCAGAGTGTCGATGGACTTTCAGGTCTGCTGAAAGATCCACGTTAGAGGAATTTCTGGGAAAAAGATTTGTCATCGACAGAGCAAGGTCAACGCCGCAGGGGTCAGATAATAACCAGAGTCCACGGAAAATGTTGTTTTATCTAAGCAGCGGCTGGAATCTGGTCTCGTGTGTAAGATGAGATCATGAGAAGTGTTGTGCCAGTTTGTTCTGCGGTTCCAGCAGAAATATCAGATTCTCTTCACTGGAATGTTGAAATTCAGCATCAGCGTCTCTTTAAGCTGCCCACAATCACTGCTGACACATCAAGGAGAGAATCTGCAGGAATTATCAGGTCAGATATCCACCGTGATAATGACATCCTTGGTTGCATCTGGCTTAATAATTAGCCAAGACTGCGTCTGGTGCTGCATTGTAATAAAAAAAGATTCTACTCTGTGCTAAAGGGAATGTAATAGTTGGGTCAGTTTTACGGAGACATTAGGGGCATTCTACTCTGTTGAGTAAAATTGTTCTCATTCTTCGAAGCCAGAAAAGTGTTTCTTAAACACATTGCATGCACACATGCAGAGATTTGAGTACTAGTCTAATTAATGTGCAGGCGTCTACGAGCTTAACCCGTTCAGATGATTCCAGTGGACATAACTTTTCTAGGATGTCTAGATCTACAATTACTGCCATCTGATTCAATTTTCTTATAATACAATCAGCTTGTAATTTGATTAAATACAGATCAAATGTATCTCAGTAGCTTTTGAACTTACTGTTTTCTGGAGAAACTTCAGAAATCAAGGATATTCTGAGTAGTGATGACAAATATGACACAAAAATGTTGTTGTTGAAAAAAGGTCTGTTTAGACTACTAGATGGTTTCTCACATTCAGATTCTTTATCCACTGGAATACAAAAACAAAGCATTTTCATCACAAAGATATTTGATTTTTTTAAAAATTTGATTTATGGGTGCATTTAGAGTAGAAATCCACCATTACAATATTTTTTGTGAGTGTTTGAAAGGTAATTTGGTTGTGAACCCTTCTATTCTTGCAAGAGTGAATCCATTAGAGCAATATATTTAGGTTTCTGCCACAGTGAGTTGCAGTGAATTCAAAGAAGAAGTGCAGCTTCAGGAATCTAGAGGAAAGGTTATTCCATTTTATAGACACAAAACAAACTGTGCTGACGCACTTTGTAAGACATGTCAGGTCATGCTATATTGACAGACAGTTAGTCACCCCTTTGGCATTTCTTAATTGATAAAGTCATAAACAACTGTTATATTAACAGCTATTGAAACTGAGCTTGACTTGTAAAAATGAGGCGTGTTTTCCCACAAGATTTATCAGTTAGGATTGATTTTAAATGTGTTTAAGGTTGACGCTGCTGCAGAACATACAGTTTAGTATTGTTTCAGGTAGAAGCCACAATATATGTTTTACTATGATCAGGTATCGTGGTCAAGAGTCAGGGGGCCCATTTCTGCCAGTGTGATAAAAATAGAATAAAATAGAATAAAACTAATTGAAAAAAAAAAAAAAAGATATATAATAAGAAACCTTCTCCAAATAATGACTTAGTACTTCACAATAATGACTTGATATCTCAACACAATGAGAAACTTTGCTAAAATTATGAGTTAGTATCTAAAAATTCCGACCTAAAATTGCCTTTCATTAGGTATTAAGTCATTTTGAGATATTCAGTGAGTCACTGTTTTGATTAAGTTTGTCATCACTTTGAGACAACAGCTCATTAATTTGAGATACAAGCTCATATTTTTAAAAATGTCCTCATTCCTTTTGGGTCATTATTTCATTAAAGTCTCTCATTATAATGACTAAACATGAGCTTTTCTAGGAGGAGAGAACACAAGAATGTGAATGGTGCTGACATGACCAGTATGTAATTAAAGATGACTTAAAGCAGCCTTTAAAACAGATGTGAATTAGTCAGCTTCCTTAACTCAGATAAAACCCAACTTGACTCAATTAAAATGAAATTGACAGATAAACCTCTGTACATGCAGGGTTATGAGGAAGTATAGCTTAAAACCAAACGCAGATGAAACTGATTGTATGATGTCAGCAGAATGATGCCCTTATGGTGTGAGAAGCTATGACAAGATGGAATATGATGGATATTCGTCACACAGTGATGACAGTGACAGAAGTTAGTATTTAATGGAATTAAATTATGCTCTTTAAAAATTACAAAATACTGTATTTGCAAATAACGGAGTTCATGGGAAAAAAAATTCCATACGCAATTTCCTTCCAGAGTATGCAACATATTCCCAGTCATCTGAACTACAACTTTCTCCAAGTAAATAAAATTTCTTTATGCCCTATGAGCCTAGCCGCTGCGTGCACTCCTCAGTTAGGACCCTCGCTACAAAAGGAAACCGGGCATTTTCAGTTAGCTGTGGATCTGCTTATGTGAGGTTAGGTTAGCAAACTCAGTGTCTTCATTTAAAACACTCTAAAACGGGCTTTTGTTTTCTTTTTTCTTTTTTTACAGTAAATCTGACAGTAAAGCTGCCACATGGTTTTAGCCCATGTTCAAAAGTTTTGAAAAGTGCTGTACAAATAAAGATTATTATTAGTAGTAGTAGTAGCAGTAAATCAGTAAATCATGTCGGGTATTTTCAATCAGTCCAACCATCATAATTTATTTCATTAATGATATTTTTAGTTCAAGTGACAAGCCATTGCTACAACTGTTCAATGTCTGATTAGATAAAGAAGTAGAAGACCTGTGTTGAGACTGTTTTGTTAAGTGTGATTAGAGAGAGTTGCTAAAATGTAATTTTAAAGTACAGAATTAGGACACTTTGGACTCATTGATGACTCCAGCTCCTTAGCAAAGGTTAAGCCAGGTGGAGCAGCAATCACCTTGCAATAAGTACAGAATGTAGACATGACATTTTTCTGTGCAGCAGCATTAAGACTGTAACTTCATAACACTCAGAAGTTGCAGGCAACACTGCCCCAACTCAGAGCAGGCCAGGTGTGGAAGTGCAAAAAAAGGCATAAATGTGTGTTTTATGATCTCTCTCTCTCTCTCTTACACACGCACCCACACACACACATATGGCACGTGTATGCATACGACCTTTCTCTGCTAGAAAGAGTTGGGTATAAGGAGGGAACCTCAGACCATTCATTCATTCATTCATGTTCTAACCGCTTCATCCTCTTGAGGGTCGCGGGGGGGCTGGAGCCTATCCCAGCTGACATCGGGCAAGAGGCAGGGTACACCCTGGACAGGTCGCCAGACTATCGCAGGGCTGACACATAGAGATAAACAACCATTCACACCTACGGACAATTTAGAGTTATCAATTAACCTAATCCCCAATCTGCATGTCTTTGGACTGTGGGAGGAAGCCGGAGTGCCCGAAGAGAACCCACGCTGACACGGGGAGAACATGCAAACTCCACACAGAAGGGCTCACATACCCGGGATCGAACCGGCAACCCTCTTGCTGTGAGGCGACACACCACCGTGCCACCTCCTCAGACAATTCAGAACCAAAATTAGGCTGCCATAACACATTTCTCTTCTTCTATATTTTCACTTTTACAGACCCGTCCAGCATCAAACCAAACTGTTTGTGTGAAAGATGGAGAAAGTGAGCATTCTTGGAAAGAGTCAGTCAGTTGTTTTTTTTTTAAAAAAAGGGCAAAAGCTGCTTCTGCGAAAAGAGGCATCTGCATCTGGAACTGATCTGATTCACAGAATCAGAGGAAGACAAGAGCTTTCAGTGATACAAGAAGGAGGACATCTTAATGTGAAAATGCTGATCTGTAACTGATGTGTGTCTCTGCTTACACAGCATGAGGATTCACTTCCTGGTAAAGCATATCTGGACTTGACCTTATTTGACATGAAGTGAAAGAGTCAAGCATGAGACTAGAAGGTTAAAGGAAATATAAAATTCATAGTGATGGGTTTCTTCGCGCTTTTCTTACTTTTTTTTCAATTTAAGTGATAACATTGACGCAAAAGGACTTTTATTCACCGAACTTAGCCAGTGCTTCTTCTTCTTCTTCTTACGTGGTGTACTGACCGCATTCCTAATTCTCTCTGGTTTTAGTACGGATACCTACTTCTAATCGGCAACTCTGATTTTAAATTTAATTCACATGCTGACCGGATAGACAGAAAACCCACAAAATAACCAATCATATTCTTTATTAAATATCCTCTCTAAAACAAAAGCAGTCTGCCAGCACTGTACAATAACATGACAATAATAATAATGATGTAATATTAATCTCAGTCTTACCTAAAGCTGCCACTCCATAGCCAGGTGGACAGGTACTGTGTGTGATGCAGAACTCCACCACTAGGTGGAAACCTGGAGCGCACTCACACAGTTGGTCGTGGGTGCTGTTACACTCCTGCTTCACAAGCTGTCTCTCTTTGCACACCTAAGCATGACAAACCACAGTCAGCATGTGCACATATGAACAGAGGGCATACTCATTTAGTTATGTCATGGTGTGTGTTATGCTGCTGCTTCAAAAGCAGTCGTTACCATACAGAAATACATAAAGTGATATAACTGGCGTACTAGAAAAGGGATGTAACACACCTCAAGAGGGACATATTAACAACACATATTACATAATTTATCGAGAGTGTGAATCTTAACCACGGGAAAGATCACACTACCACAATGAGGCCATTAAAACTTTCTTTTTCAGTGAGAATTACTAAACTGGAAACACTGGTTTTAACAATTACAGATGCTTTGCCAGGATGTAAACAAACAGTATAGTCATGCATCAAATGAGAAAGTAAAATACAACCACAGAAGGGCAGATAAAAACTTTAAAGGGATGTTGAATTTCAACATCTGTGATATGAGCCAGTTTTGGATGATTCACTTAAGGAGACACTACAAAAACTGGCGGTTCTCATGAAAAATACAGTCACACTCCTTAATGCACGGAGAAAAGAAACATGTCTGAAGAGAAAAACCAAAGAAACTTTTTGGTCTCAGACATACCGAGGTGCAGTATTGGCATGTGTCCCCCCAGTGCCAGTTCTCAGCAAAGTGCCTCTCTGGACAGGCTTGGCACTCTGTGGGTGTGTCAGCAGTGCAGTGTCGTTTCACGGCCGTGCCAGGAGGACACTGGTCGCACAGCAGGAGGTCAGATGTCACAGGGTCGCGGTACTGGTACTTTGGCGGTATGTCCTGCTGCTGGAAGGCCCAGGAGAGAGAAGCTGTGAAGAGCTGCAGGAGAAAGAAAGTGGGTTTTAGTACACTGAGTCAACAGCTGCGACAAAGTCTCTAATGAAACCCATCTCGTGCACAGCTCCTCTTTGGCTAAAGGTTCAAATATTTTTTTTTTCATATTTCGGAGCACTTGCCAACCCAAAGCTTCCAGTAAGGAACGAGTTGAAAGAAAGGTCAGAGCTGTAAAGCTGAAGCTCCTGGTGGATACACAGTCCTAAAGTGATTTCCTTTGCTTTATAGAGAGCCGTTCGGGGAGTTAGAGGAGAAAATTGAGCAGCAGCTTCATGGATTACTGCACAGGGGTAATATCATCCCTTTGTGTTGCCTCAAATCCTGATGCTAAAAGCTGTGAGCGTGATTTTATTCTCACTATAAGTTTGATTAAAGGATCATATTTATTTCATTGCACTTTTGGCTTTGTTTCTCAAAGTCTTAATGGTTTTCCAGAGCTTTAAAATGAATTCAGATGTTTCAGTTCCGCACATATTAAATTAAAACAAAGTGAATGACACAGGGTTATAGATGATAATTGTGGAGTCCTGTGTTCTCTGACCTCACCAGCAGTCTCCTACCCCTGTCAGCAGCTCTGTAAGATAGGCCGCTTTGTAGCTGAAAAGCATCTGACGTGATTCAGCGCTGATCTACAGCGGTTTAATACCGCCCTGCAGCAAGAGCACACCACACCCATATATCTTCTCCCCCCTCTAAGAAAAACCCGTCCATATGGACACACTGTAAAGTGGGTGGCTGCTAGTGAGGCCTCAGGGACGGACAAATGTAGCTTTTGCCTCAAAAACAAGCCCATGTATCATCGCTTGAGCAGGAACTGAAAAGCTTTGGCCCAAAATCCAAGATATCAGTTGGTGAGCATGTTTGACATGCAGCCATGCAGCTGGTTGAGGCCACATGCAGACCAGATGTCACACATCTGGCTCCTTCCACCCTGAAGTCCCTCAGCCATTGGCTCTGCGGACTTTCCCGTTGGCAGGGATACATCCTCACCGCTTGGACAAACTAACAATAGGCCGTCCTTGCATTGTGTGTATGTGTGTGTATGCTTCTATGTGGTTTTCTGCTTTCCACCATGTTTGTTTGTGCATCTTCAAAAATGAATGAATTCATGCAACAAACAACACAACCCGTGCATGTGCGTGCAGGAGTGCACACATGCAGGAATGTGTGTGCTGCTGCATGTGTGTGTGTATGTGCATGTTTGTCGGTGTCCAATTATCCTCTTCCTCAGTGTTGGTCTGTGTGCTCTGCGGTCTCCCCTCCTGGCTGCTGTTCATAAAGAGAACTGTTGGAGGTTACTGGGCTTTCCCCATTCACCATCAGAATACAAAACACTCACCCACTCTGTTCTACAGTTTACCCGCTACACACCATTGATCTTCTTCCTGCGTGTGTGTATTTGTACTTATGCCATTTACCTTAAAACTTGCAACCACAAATCACAGTGTGTACGGGTGTGTGAGACAAAATGAAAACCAGGGAGAAAGAGTGTTATTTTCAGTGTGTGTGTGTGTGTGTGTGTGTGTGTGTGTGTGTGCGCGCGCACATGTGCGTCTTTTATTCACTATTATGTTACAAAATATTTAGCTGCAGAACTCTTTTCATCAGAAAAGAGTTCTGATGTTCATGAGTGTGTGCAGTACAGCTGCGTGTCCCCCATCTGCCATGTGTTACCGCTTTGATCTGCATGTACAGCTAATGTGTACCTGTATTTGTGTTCCCTTTAATATTGCATTACACTGCACTATACTGTAAAAAATGATGCACTATGCTGCAAAGAAAAAGAATAAGACCTTCTATTTCTGTTTCTTTTTGCGACGGAGGTCATTGAAAAAGATAGTAAAAATAGATGAATGAGTTTTACACACCATAATAGAAACCTAAGCTTCAAACAGCATGGCGAGCGCAGCGGTTTTCCCGGCAAAACCTATCGACCTCTGAGCACAACATTTGGTGGAAGGCTTTCATCCGCAGTGACTTACTGAGCAGTACCATGGCTGCATCTGTTTGTTTGTAGCATGGGTGGCCCCAGCGGGAATCAAACCTATAATCATAGCCTTGCTCCTCAAATTAAGAAGTGTATATACACAGTATTAAAGAAGCAGTGTGTAGGGTTAACTGGCATCTAGCGGCGAGGTCGAAGATTGCAACCAACCGAATACCCCTCCCTTTCCGAGCATGTAGAGAGCTGACAGTGGCCTTCAGGTACAGTAAAAATTCTCTAGAGCTGGCATTTGGTTTGTCCGTTCAGGGCTACTGTAGAAATATGGCAGAGCATGTGAGAGGCTCCTTGGAAAAAGGACCTGCTCACTAGATAAAAAGGGCTCATTATAAGGTAACAAAAACACAACAAGTAGTTTCCAGAGATTACACACTTATAAAAATATATTTAAATCTAAACCCTACACACTGCTCCTTTAAGTTGTGAGACTATATCCAGTCAATGTAGAAACAACAAGGAGGGTGGAGCGAACTGAAGGACCGACAGAGGGTCACCTGGGGTTTCTCTACAATCTCGGTACGGTTATACTTGTCGCTTCGATTTTAATCTTGAGTTGGAGTCAGGATGAGTTTACTGGCAGGACGGGACTATCTCAAGTCACAAGAGCCGATGAGCCCCAGCACATGTGGAAGTGATCAGGTTCCTGTTGTTTTTCACATCCTTCATACGGCACAGTAGTTTGGCTAGACTCCAGCTATAATATACAGCACAGTGCAGAGCAACTGCAAGTAAGAGACAGTAATGTTCAGTAGGATAAATAAAATGACAGCTGAGAGATTTCTCTTCTGCTTTATCAGATTTAAAAGTCACTTTGAAATAAGTGAAAACACAAAATACTGCACCCTAAGTCACTGTACATCATACATCCAGCGTAATACCTTTGCTCCCTGTTATCAACTCTTTTATCATTTCCTATTTAAACCAAGAAGGAAAAGCTGTTCATACTAAAATCAATCACTAAACTAAGCCAAACCTTTCAGACATATAAATGTTATGGATAAAAAACAGTTTTAGATAAACATGTTCAATGTCTTAAATTAATCAGTGTCAGGCAAACCCATACTTTTTCTCCCAAACAACCAGTTCAGTAGCGTTCTGCTCCTGAGGAAAAGAAAAACTGTCAACTTTTTAGGGATTAACTTATTGGGGAGATGTCCTGTGGTGTGTGTGAATCCGTCTATCAGCAGCTAAAAGAGATATTGAACTTTTAACCCTCCTTGTCGCCTTAGAAGCTGCCATCTGACGACATCATGGACGACCGCTGGAAACCCAAATTACACAGCAGCTAGGGGCCACTGACAGCCATAATTATACTGTTAACAACATCAGAGCTAAGCTCAGCGAGAGGCATATCCTACGTGGAGCACGGCCAGCCGAGGAGTAAAGGATGGATGAAGGTACGGAGGTAATGATAATGTTCTACCTTCCCTTAGCTGGACGCCCTTGAGCAAGGCAGGGCAGCTGCTATGTAAATTACTGCAACTGATGGAGTGTGAAGCTGCTTGTCGGAAAAAGCATCAAGTCGCCTTCCGCTGGATAAATAATGGTTGAAATAAAAAAAAACACTACATATTTATACTGGTTAAATTGGCTTCATCCGACACAGTTTGCTTATGTAATCCATGCCAGTAAATCCCATTTGAAGTGAGTTGAGAGAAACCTTGTGTTTATGCGGAGCAAAGACGACCTTTACCAAGTCTTTAACAGAGAACACGTGCTTTTTAACAGATGTTATCCTCTTGAATGAAACAAACAAGTGTATTCCAGTCTGTAAAGTGGGGCGATACACAAATGGAGATGGACTTCTTGCAACAGGCAGCACAAGCGAGACACAGTAAAAAATCCAGTCTGATGTTATTGGTGGTTGCTCACACTGTCTTTATATATCACTTTGTTGGCTGGGCACACCTGTAATATCTCTTACATTCAATGACATAATTTCTAAAATGATGCCAGGTTTTTGTTCTTCTATGACCTGTCTGCTGTCAAAATTATATCCACTGACAACTGTAATGATGACAGAGTTCTTTGGTGAAACTGCAGGACAGATGGGCTGTAGCAGCATAACTACAGAGCTCAGACACCTGACAGAAATAGCCTTTAAATGATCACACATGCTTTCCATATGAGCTTGTAAAGAGAGTAACATCTACAGATAATAGGCGGGTAAAAAACGATTGAATAAATGAATAACATTAATTGTGAATTGAGTAAATACTGTCCAAAAAGAGCATGTCAGGCAGCTTTATCATGACATATCGCCTACAATATTTAAAAATATAACATGTAAAATGCAAAAAGGAATCAGTGCAAAGATGAGCATATGCAGACAGACAGCAACTTAACCAAATTCAGTCAATCACAATTACATTCCGAAACAGTAAACGTGACCCTCCTTTGTCTTGTTTGTGGAAATATTAAAATGCTTCCAGAACAAATTAGCTGCAGCATTTAAATATCTTCCAACGGACAGGGTTCAGGCTTTATGTTACAGTAAATGTGGAGCACACTGGAAACGCGGAGAAAGAGGAGAATCAGAGTTCGTGTAGAGCCCGAGGTCAGTTTCAAATTCATGGCATGAGGAGAAGAGCCATGGCACAAAGGGACCAAACCACACTACACCAGCTTATCCACCAGGCACATGGCTTCAGTTAACTGTAGAACGCAGGTGGTCTGACGGGGGATTCCAGCTCTTAGAAGTGTGTGTGTATGCATGTGTGTGTGTGTGCACATGTGTGTGTGTTGCAGGGTCCTGTGAATATTGAATTTGTCTTCTCCACTCATACAGAGACAGAGACAGAGACAGATATGCTGCCATGCTGTGTCACATGAAGTCAGTCATCACACAATCAACAATAATCATTTCTGATGAAATTTAATGTTGACATTTTCAATAATGCACGCTATGTTTACTTCATATCTCATCATCCCAAACACAATGTGCTTCTAGTTTTGAATATGCAGCTGGAAATATTGTGATAAAAATGAATTACGTATGTGTGTGAGCACATGTTTGACATATGTAATTCTGCCAAGAATTTAATACTGTACAGTCAATTAATTGAGCCCAGTCAGCCTGCTGTTGTACTGTAAACCTTCCATGTCATGTTGACCAGGGCAGAAACAATTAGTCAGTGAATAAATAAAGAAACAGAGCATAAATCAGCTTCTTTTTTGCTAATTGATTAAACTTGTGTAAAGCAAAAATGTCAAGACTCCATTGGTTCCAACTTTTCAAATGTTATATTTGCTAGTTTTGCTGAGCTTTAAGAAATTGTGAAGGGCATCTTAAAATAGATTTTCTGGCCTTTTATAATCCAAACTATTGATTTACTACTCAAGGTAATTATATGCAGATTAATCAGTAATGAAAATAATTATTAACTGCAGCCTTATTGTTGATCAGTGAAAGCAGAAAGATTTTTTAGTTGACTTCCCGAAGTCCGGGATTTCAGAATAATGACTCATTTGAAACAAATAGAGAAAAACTATCCAGTATGTGTAGCCAGTGGTGGACTGTAACTAAGTACATTTATTCAAGGAGTGCACTTAAGATTTTTCCTTGAAGCATCTCACATGGTTTCATTTAGAGGATTGTTTAAGGCCCGAAAATGTCAAATTATATGCAACATTTCACTAAAAAAAGCACAAGATTAGAGAAAAGTCCAGCAAATGACTTCAAATATGTGTAGTATAAGAGGTTTTAATCATTTCATGACCTCCCAAATTTTATTGTAACCACTTGAAGGTGGCCTAACCTGTATAGGTTGGGTGCCACTGCACTAAACTTCATACTACTGTGTATAAAATACAGTAGTTTAAACTCAACTAGCTCAAATCATAAAACTAAAACATTAATGCATAGGTACTGACAATCTAATAATTTCATATATATATATGTTCATTTTGCTGTATAACAAGTACTTTTATTATTAAGTACATTTTGCTGATAGGAAGATCTACTGGCAAAAATGGTATATAATATTCATAACTATGTTTTCATTTGCTTATAATAATATAATTGTCCTTACCTTAGAATGAGCAGAGACTTCCATGTTTCTACAGTAGCCCAGAAAGGACAAACCAAACACTGGCTCTAGAGTAGGCCTGCCATATTTTTATGTTACCTGAAGGCCACCGTAGGTTGTCTACACACTTGGAAAGGGAGATGTGAGCGGAGGGGTTTTCAGTGGGCTGCAATTTGCAACCTCACCACTAGATGCCCCTAATCCTACACACTGCTCCTTTAAAGGGATCGTTAAGATCCTTTGAAGTGTGTTTGTAGAGTGTAAGGTACTTATTCATAGATACAGAAGCTTAGCAACGTAGTGCTGCGGACAGGGTCAGCAACAAAACGTATTTTAGCCCCCTAAAAAAGGCCCACCTACAAAACTTAAATACAAGTTTAAGTGTATGCTGTATTTAGAATATTTTCACCGCTATACCTTGCCATCAGACAGGGATTTCTGGTTGGTAACTGAAGCCGTTAATTGCTGTCATTTAAGCAAGACTCCTTTGAAAAAAACAGCAATTTAACATTGCAACACTGGAGCTGCTGGTCCTGATATGAGAGTTAGTTTGCATTATTGTGTGACTTTGGTGTTTAAAAGGGTTAGTTCAGATTCACCAGAGTCACACAACACAAACTAACCGACTATCAAGGCAGGGGTAGACCAGCAGCTCCCGTGTTCAGTGAGTTAAAATTACTGTTTTTCTCAATGGAGCCTGGTGAGTCTGACGAGAGCATAGACGGGAAACTGGAGCTGTTAAGGGCTTCCCTGTTGGAAAAGGCTGTCTGCAACAAGGTAAAGCAGTGAAAATATTCCTACTATAGTATCTAAATCAAACTCTCCTCATGTTGTGTAATACCTTGTGTCAGAAAAACCTTCACTACAAATATTTGCATCAGGTCAGTGTTGCTGTTTTTAATATGACTCATCCATTTGGACCAGAGTGTGATCGTGACACTAACAGCTCTATCTCTTTTGCCTATTGTCTTTCAGCTCTTTGTGTGATAACCACTCAGTGATACACACACACACACACACACACACACACACTGGATCAATGAGTTCATCACAACTGTGCCACACACAACACGCCCACACACTTACATACATGCTTCTGCTATCAGTACTACTGTTGATGGAAAAGGGGAAGTAGAGCGTGCGGAAGCAACTTCCACAGGTAATCGTTGCTTTCTGAATAAACGTTTGTGCTTGTTTGTTTAAAACATGTTGATCCTGTACTTTCACACACCCTCTCTGTACATCTCCCTCCCCCCTCTGTCACACTCACTTCCTCACCCTTTCTCTAGTGTTTGTCTAGAAAAAACACACAAGTTAGTCTGGCCAAGTGACCTCTCTGTAGCTTCTCCTGCCTGCGTGTGAACCTGCAGCGAGGTTTAGGGAAGTTGGTGCAGCTAATGCCAACGGCCATAACAGAGAGTGAAGGAGAGGAGGCGTAAAGATAAAGAGAGCACAGATGAGCGATAATAATAGTGGGAGATAATGGAGATTAGTGGCTGGATTACTAGTATGGATAGATGGTTGACATGCAGGCTATAGCTAGCTGTCTGATTGGACGGCTGGTTGACCACCTGCTGATCAGACGGACTCATCTCAGCTGCATTATTTTACTGCCCCTGAGCCTCACTCCTCCACTACGGTTTATACTTTGAAACTTGTGTCTGCACAAAAAGACTGACAGCGTAACATGATGTTGTCCAATTTCCACGTCTGTTCCACTGACATCACCCTGGGCAAGTACCCAAACAAAAATGTGTGTGTTTGCAGCAGACAGAACGCAACCACATGAGTCAGGAGCACGCAGGAGGACAGGAAGAGCGCACAGGTGCAAGAGGTGCATTTACTGTCGGACCTCGGAGCCAAAACAATGTTTTGAAGACAAAATTGCAGAGTGTCCCTTTAAGGTAGAATTACAAACAGACAGAGCGAGACAGACAGGCGAATCAACAGGCAGAAAGGTGCTGGGGATCCAGAGTGGTGGTGACTGACTTATTGGCTGGATGCTGACAGTGGAGACTGACTGAGTGGTTGGACGTCTGACTCATTAGTTGGCTAAACAGATGCTTGTACGACCGACTGACTAACTGAATGATGGATAAACACGAGAACACTACGTCATAAATTGTGAGAACAAAATAGCTGCCTATTTTAGGTAAATTGTAGAGTGCAGACTGTGCTGCAGTGGAGGAAATACTCTGTGGTTAATATCACATTAAATGGTGTCAGAAAGCACACTCGCACACACATTCATTTGGATTTTACTGCCTTGTATACACCTACTTTACACAAAGAAGCAACACATCTTACAAACAAAATTACTGATTGACCATGCTCTTCACAACAAAGGATCTCTCCCTCTTTCTCACGCACACACAGAGACAAACACACACAGGCCACGAGGATAGATAGTGGGTCCAGTGTTTTGTTGCTACAGTGTATGATCTGTTTTTGCCCAGAAATACATCTGTGCATGGACATATGCAAAATCTGCAAAGGCCCCAACACAGCACAGCATGCAAAGCACACCAAAGGAAATAACTGCTCCAGCCCTGAAGGCATAAATTTAAAATCCCTTGAGAAGCGTTGTAGAACAAATTAGTGTAACGTCAACCCCACAGTAAACACCATCTGCTGGCAACACGCTACGTCTCTATTTTGAGAGTGCTGAGTTTCATTCATTTCAAACGTGCCACAGAAAAAGCAATGAAATGTGAACTAAAGTAAACTCTCAGCCATTGATGGAAATCATAGATCTTGTTTGTATGTCCATTTTGTGGGCTGTGAGTATTCAAGGCAGCGGATAAAAAGGTGGAAGAAATATGAGCTCCATTAATCATTAAAAGCAAACAACTGCCGTTATAAAACATAGTTTAATTCTATTCTCAAAACTGGAGTGATTCCCTTTTATTCATCTTGAAAAGCTCCCATTATTGTATAGCCCTCACACATGTGTAGTATGCACCTGGACACATTATATTAGCAGCTTACAATATGATATAATCCACTACAAAAGCCTCAGGAGTCACCAAAAAGTAGAATATCTCAGTACATTTATAACAAATCTTTATATCACCTGTGCAAGATTATACTGCAGAGCTGCTAAATGGGACTGCATTATACTGTCAGGTGCTACTTTGTCTACATTCTGCATAAACCGGGTGTATTTCCCTCCATTCCCTGCTGGTTTCCCACAGCAGAAAGCCTAGACAGAAATATCTTTCCCAAATGAAAATGTCATGCAAATATTTGAAACTAACAAAGTGGATGAAGTTTCCCTTAATGTGCATTTAAGTGCGTCACACACACACATGCCATTTTAAATAGAAGTAAAACAGGTACTGTGTAAGGACCGAGCATGAAGTATATGAACTCTCACAGGGCATCATGCGTCATGTCTAAACCTAGAAAGGATCGTGCCAGTGATGCTGCAAACAAGCTCGATAGAATCAGCTGACACTAAAATGTCAAATCTAAAACACTGACTGCATTTCAGGGGACAGAGGTGACTGATTAGTGGCCCCCGTGATGAGCTTAACATCAAACTACCTGCACAGACTCATGTTGGACAGAAGGAGCGCGACACGTGATGAGCCAATGTCTATCTTTTTGGGGAGAATATATCTGGACTGAGGCGAGTGCCCTTACCCAGCTGATTACCATGCGTCTGAAAGTGAACTGTATGTAGCGCACTAATAATCCATGTCTCGCAAAACAGATCAATGTCATTCCTTCAGTAAGAAATGTCCCCCTGTGCTCCAGCGGATCAGATCGACTCAGCGGACCAAGCAGAAAAAGAAGCTGAATAAACTCATGTGTACTCACCACTATCAGTTTCATGGCCGGGTTGGATTTCGGTATCCGAGCGCTCATCTCTACTGCGTAAAAGTGAACTGCGGTGTGAAGGGGTCTCCATCATCTGTACTTATACAGTAGGCTACAGAGAGAGAGAGGGAGGGAGGGAAAGAGTGGGAGCGCATGTGCCCACCCACCTCGTTATCCAGTGCACAGCCCTCTCTCTGTGTCTGCCTTTGTGTTCCTCTCTCTTCCCTCAATCCTAAAAATAAATTCTTGCATCCTCACGAGTTGCGTTGCGATTACGCAAAGAAATGAATGGCACGGTAGGCGACAACAAATGAAAGTGGGGCAGCATCCAGTGAGCATCAGATGATGTGGATTCAGTGGTGGATTCAGGATCAGACAAGGTCGACTTTTCAAGCAGCGCAAATGTAACAGGGTCAGTAATACAGCAGTAATATGCGTAACAGTCGACTGTACACTTGTAATAGTAGGGGAGACTGGGGTTGGTTGTCACACTTTTAACTCCTAATGCTCATCATCAAAACAGCTTTTAATAGTCATTCCTATCTTAACACTTTCTCTGCCAGAGTATTGCCAGCCACCACCAGCATTTTTGGTCATATTCACTAATCTTTAAAGACCCACAGAATTATTTGTTCTATGAATATTTAAGCAGTATGTACATGAAACTAAAGACGAGGCCTTCTGTTTTTAAACACACACACAAAAAAACATTTTATTCTGTCTTATTCCATTTCTTATTTATCAACACTTAAAAAAAATATTTTTGTCAAAGAATGTCATTTTCAAGTATAAAATCAATTTCACATTTACATTTTTTTTCTCATTTCCTTACATCAGTTTATCTTATATGGATAAAAATAATAATAATACTATAATGATGAAAGTAATATTCTCTTTTAGGTATAGCAGAACACATTGCCATGTTCAGTGATCGTTCAGTGTTCTGTTGTCTCCCCTCTCCTTTGTGATCATCTTGTCCGTGTGTCGCTGTCACCGTCATGGTGATCCCATTTTGTCCCACCAAACTTGTTTGCTTCTTCATCCAAATCCGATTCAGAATGTTTATTAGAACAATTATTATCAGAGTCTGAGTCCATCAACATCTCCACGGCTTGCGCAAACGTAAAGTTTTCTGTCAGCGCCGGCATTTTCGTGCAGTATACAAGCTGCAACATCTTCTTCCGGTCTCCAGCGGCTCTTCTTCTTCGTTTGTTTTTGGTCTCCCCTATTATAATTACACAAATTAAGTTTTAGTTATTATTACCTGACACCCTTAGGCCTTCAAATCTCAAATAAATATTCTTCAATGTGGCAAGCTGTAGAGGAACATTGTACAGTAGAAAAATACGACACAAGGTTGAAAATACACCCATGACAACTATGACTTCAGTACAAATTATGAAAGTGTCTTTCTTTTGTAGTCTTCCTTATTTGGAGAGAAATAAAACCAATAACTTATCTGTTTGACATTTTCCTGATTCCTGAATAAATGTGCTAAACTAAACCGGCTACGTGAAACTCTAAAGCAACTGTTTTTCCCTAAGGAGGTGGCTATTATGTTTTTGAGAACCAGTCCGTAACACACCCACTGTGTCAAAGTAAGAAAGAAAAAAAGTAGCTTTAATCAGTGTGAATAAAGAAACCCGTTCCAGGATAAATGTTTTGAGTTTTGGTTTGACAGCATGTAAATACGATGATTGGCAGCTGTTTATTTCGACCAGTCAGAATCATTTAGTAAAACGAATTATGCTTATTTGAACATCCGCTGGTGGAGCTTGGAAATGTTGTCTCAGTGAGGCCGGACAACACCGTCCATGTGCTGAGACGAATTGTTTGAGAAACTTGAACCACAAGATGTGAGAACCGAAGACCAAAATACTGTCTTTATTAAAACTGTGAACCATTAAAGGTTCTGTGACACTGAGTTTATTTAGTCATAAGACTATGCTGCAAACATGTTAGGCCTTTTTCCATGAAGTCTACACTCAGGTTTTTGATCCATAGACTCCAGATGGTTTTCCACAAAAAAATCCACAGTATGCTTTATTGTTACATGTCCCACAAGCTATTTTACTGGCTATTTTTCTTTGCCCCTTATTTATTTAGGGAACTTTCACTGAGAGCCGAGCTATTTCTTTCTGTAGAGACACTTACACACATTTTCACCTGGAACTTACCCCCTAGCCAGAAGTATCCTGTTGACCTCGGCGGTTAAACCAGCAACCTTTTGACCTTAACCTTAAGGCCACTGCGACAGTGTTGTACAGTAGATTCATGTAGTAAAATTCACTTTGATTCGAGGCTCTGATACTGAAACATCTTCCTGTGAATATATATGTTTGAAACACACTCTAATGGCATAATTGACTGTGGTAGGCTGTATTGTGCCATTTGAATGTATAATTCCACTTATTACATTTTATTAATTTTGATATAATGTTTATGTGGCTAAATACACTGTATGAAAGACACACATTTGTTTAATGAACATCATTTGCTTAAACTGCTTTCAATGTATACAGTCAGAGCACAAGTCCTGCCTACACTTGAGGGGAAACCTATTTATCGTTGTCCATTGGCTTTGTAGGTTATGGCGTAAAGGTACCACAATGCCTAAAAGCTGCTGTGTGGTGGGATGCACAACTAACAGGGTAAAGAACTCAGAACCAAGTTTTTATAAGCTGTTGATCTAAAAACTGAGCCTTTAACAAGACAAAAATGAATAGAGAGGTGAGGCATCAGTAGGAAGAATGAGAAAACTGCCGGATGCTGACACTACGTAAATAAGTTAATTCAGTCAAACTATAGAGCTTGAAGGTAACTGAGCTATGCAAGGCCTGGTTCTGATGTTTGTTAGGTTGAATTACTTTCTGACCTACCTTACCCTGCTTATATGAAATAGTCCGACAGTAATAGAGATAGACAAGGCAAGAAGAATGGACACTAAGGATGCTTTCACACCTGTCCTGTTTGGTTCGGTTCAGTCAAACTCAAGTTCGTTTGCCCTCTAAGTGCAGTTTGTTAGGGCAGGTTTGAACACAGCAATCGCACTCAGGTACACCAATACCTTTTTGAAGACGTAGTCTTGGTCCAGTTACAGCCAAACTCTGGTGTGGTTATTTTGTGGTGAGAACATGTTCCAACCTCGATCCGAACCCACTGCAGTCGCATTATGCATTGTTTGGGTTAAACAAGCATGAGAATGTTACAGTCCTGGAGGATTATTAATGTGCACCTCCTCCAGTACTGCCTTAATATGTGCATTCGGCACATCCAATGCATCAAAACATTGTTTCTTAGTTGGAGCCGCGCCTCATTTTCAAACTGTATGATTTGCCCAAAGTGAACAATGCAAGCAATATAGTCCACGATGACCAGTGCTAACATCAACCTATGTAGTTGTCCCTCCATTGTGACATTAGAAAGTGTCGCATTTACCTTGCAAGTGTACTGTTCAATGTTTTGATTACTTCCTGGATTTTTCCCCACATGAAAATTCTGACCAATCAAGAGCAGCTTTTTCACACAAGGCATTTGATCTGGTCTGCTTATAAATGCTGCCGTGAGAAGATGAACCAACTCTAGGCAATTATACAACTTTGTAACAAAATAAGTCCCTGATTTGGACCAAAGCAAGACAACTCTAGGTCTGAAAGCATCCTAAGATAAGATGGATAATACTGAGTTTGTCAAGATACCTTTTCCTCTCTGGTAGACACAGGGTTCTGAAATAATCCTTAACATGCTGAAATATTTTTGGCTAGCTACAGGCAATTTGTTAGTGTTTTAGTCCTCAATTGCATATTGTGGCGCTGAATGTTTTCCCCTCCAGTGGGCATGGTTTTCAGAACATGAAGTGTTGCGCTCTGTCTCTATAAAGAAAACAAAGATTCTCGTAATTTGAAAACAAATAAAATAAAAATTATAATAATAACTCAAAGTCTTTACAAAGCAAAGCTTTGTAATTTCTCCTAAGTATGTACAGTTTATACTGTATAATAAAACCACCTGTTATTACATGATTGGAGACTCAAGTCACCTTATGACAACTCAGCAAACCTTATCCGCTGATGACCACTGGATATGGTGGAAAGCTCCTGAAAAAGCTAATACATGTTAAGCTTTTTTGTTATTTGTCTCCACCAGATCATGGATGAACTTTTACACTCGAGGTTGTTATTGTCGTTAATGTAATGCCTCATTAACGGAGAGACCTGGAAATAATCTTAGATTTTTGTTGTAGTTTCCAGTCAAGTCAATTTCTCAGATATCAGTCTTCCAAAGCAACAAAAGTATGTGCACTCTGGATATCAACAATTCAATCAAATGAACATTTTCCATTTTCTGAAAGACAACATACACACACACACACACACACACTGATTTAAACATTCTGAAATTGAATGATAGATATATACAGTATCAGTGGGCCAATCCAGTTACATTTACCAGTGACATTTTGGGTTTGAAACTTGTTCAAGAGTTGGTTTTCTGTCTCTTCACTCGTCTGTTTAATATCTTCAACAAAGAGTTCCAAACAACATTTAGAGGAGTTACCGTACAGTGGTACAATACAAGGTTTCAACCAAATAAAAAACTCCCACTTAGAGGTCAGATTATGATGTGTACTGGACAACTAACAGAGTAAACCCAAAAGGGCATCCCACACTGTGATCTCTGCATATGATGGTGATACTGGACCTCTGATGTCAAAGGTCCTAAAACAAATCCATTTGTCGCATTGTAGCCGCTCATTGTCCGCCCTCCATGCAGAGGCATGACCAAATGTCACCGCCAGCTGACGTAGAAGCACAAGGTTTCAACGTAATCAGAGAAAACATACTCTCATCCACCTACGAGTCTCCGAGGCATGTGAGAGCAGTCTTAGTGGTGAGGTCACAGCTCACCACAGGATGACTTAACACACGTACACACACACGCACAAATGCAAAAATGCAGAAAAATACACACATCTTTCAGCACCGAGGTCAGGATACCGCAACAATGCTGGACTCTCAAACACACACACACATAAACAGCTACACACACATTAACACACACTCGACGAGCCCTCCTGACGTGTTCATTGGCGGTGAGATTTGTAGCGTACGAGCAGGG